TTGCAGAAACAAAATTACATAAATGGCATACAGCGACCAAAACCTCCCCGAGCCTTTTGAACCCTTGTGCACAACAGCATTGAGAACTCTCAGTGGTCGTTCTGTCCACACTGGCTGGACGTGACTTTTGCGTGCTCCATGGAGCTAAGGGTGGGGTCAGTCCTTTGCATTGCCAGAATGATCGATGTTAACCACAGCGCTCAGGATCCTGGATGGCAAAGCATTTCGACAGAGGCGAGTGGCAGTCGCAAACGTCTTCAAAGATTTGTGCAGTTTTGCAAAGGTCATGTGATATCATGTGACAGGGGGTTGAAACCTAACACCTCAACAGTGTGTTTGAGGGTCCCTTGGCTTTGGAACTATAGTTCTTTAGATACGATTAGAGCTCTTGGAAGTCATGGTCCCACATGCTCTACTGTACCGCACCATCTGTCACACAGGGGTCTGTGTGTATGCTGCTATTGAAACAATAGTCAACAAAATGTCAAACAATGCCCTGCAAGGGTTTTGCCTCACGTCCCATGATTGTTTTCGTATAATAACTAATTGATTCATTGTCGCTCCAAACCTTCACAGTAATCAGGCAACAGGTTTGAACAAAGACATGTGCACTTCGTCAAAGCTGGCTCGTCGTTTCAGGGTGTTCACCATAATATATAATATGTACCTAATTATATATATATATGTGTTTATCGTGTTCACCCTTCAATGAACGGCGGTGATTGTCGGGAAAAGCAGCAGGATATCAAGAGATGCTTGACCCATTTGAAATCAGCCATGCTGTTGCGCATCAGACGGGGGGATGGGTTGCTCCCATGATATCTCCAGGTATCCTATTTGGTCTAATGGTGTTTAAAACATCGTATTTGGTCTTAAATATATCTACTAGTTACATTTATAACTACACATTACATGCGTTCAATTTGAGGCAAAGCGGCAAAGCCAATTCAGGGCGATCGAATGATCTTGCCTGCTCTCTGAACATTCTCTCCGAACATTCTGTTATGAGTTGTTATGCGCTTGGGTGTGAGGAAGGAATGTCGTGCAGTGTTTCATTCTGACTGGCTCCGAGATCTGTGAGGGACACAATTCATCAAGTAACCAGTTCAATGGCTTGGCAGGCAAACTTATGAACATGGTTGTGGAGCAGTCCATTCGGATGATGAAATTGGCTGTCTTCGAGTTTGTGGCCAACCTCTTGGAAGGCGAAGAAGGGGCCGAAGCAGGCAACCGTGGTGCATGCGCTAGCTCATCCGAAACAGCTATAGCGCATTTTCTTACTTTTCCTTACTAGTTTTAGATATGACATGTTACCTTGATTCTGCCTGGCCATACACTGCCAGTAAATTTGGATATTGTTTTGTGCACTGATTGATTGATTGATTGATTGATTGTTTGATTGATTGATTGATTGATTATCGGTTCTACGGCTCTACCAAGCACTGGGCGATGGATGAATGATACTACTTACACACCGGGGTTCAATCCAACCAGAGGCTCGACCTCACAACTGATATTGACGTGGCGCAGGAGCTATTCGTGCCATGATTCCACAGGACTCGGATCAGATTTCGATCTGACAACCTGGAAGCCTTCAGACATATAGAGGCTTTGACAGTCACCTTGAAGCTGAGCAGTATTGCAGGGAAGACATTATTTGCCTTTGCTCCATGATGACGAAGTTTGCTTTTGCCTTCAAAGATTCTGGTTGAATGCAAGCAACTATATATAAAACAATAAAACTTGCCATTTGCCCACTACTTCATTCCTTCACATGCGCGGCTGTGGAACTTGGATTAGCAAGCATGAGTGATGGTGAGTTTAACGACAGGATGAGCAGGTCCTGCTCTTGGCTGCGGCTGCTGCTGGCCATAACTTCACCAAGTGCACCGCCTTGCATGCGGCCGCAAAAGATGGCGCCGAGGCGAAGCAGCCGCACTTGTGGAGTTTTGCCCAAGTGGTGATCAGTTTTTGAGGGAAACAGGATTGGAATGGAATATCTATAGAACTATAGATATATATACACAGTATTGAATTGGGAATGTGCTTCAACCATCCCAGGCGGAGTTTCTTGAACAGTTGATAATCACACATAGTTACTGCATTGTCCAGGTAGTGCTCGAGGAGTGCAAATCTGTTGCCATCAAGGAGTCTCGGATGAAGTCTTAAGATTTGTAAACAAGAATAAGCTTTTGCGAATTCACTGGAGTTTTGCCACACTTCATGGTGTCATTTTTGGAGCTGCACAAACTGTAAGGGTATTTTTTTTTGTCTTCGAAGCACACACTCTGACATTGGTTTTCAGTGACTCAGTTACCACGTTGGGAAGGAAGGTGAGGGAACGGAAAGGTGCGTGAGTCAGCAAAACCGTATTGTTGAACAAAGTTTCGACAGGTGTGCGGTGGCGAGCCTCTGTACAATTCAGCTGCGTGAGAAAGTGGAAGGGTTTGTGGGAAGTATCATGAACCACCATGGAATCAAAAAGGAGGATTGGAACAGCTTGCTCAACCGTTGAAGCAGGTACAGGTGGATGATCAGTCCACCCATCCCTCGATACACCAGAGCTTCGTTGCGTCAGGTAGGTGTATCGAGCCTGACGCCCCTGCCGAAGGTGGTTGAGAACCCTTTGTCCAGGGGTGGACACACAAATCGCCGGCTTCGGCGCTTTTTCAAAGAACGGTGGCACATATATACGGTGCCGCTTCGCGGCGCGCATGTGAAAAACCTAAATAGTCACCTAAAAAGCCTTAGAAACAACAGGAAAGAAAGACAGAAAGAGCAGCGCTAAGAGGGGAAGAAAGAAAGATAGGTGTAGGAAAAATGACTACTTAGCCCTTGACTGGGGTAGGGAAACGAGCCTCAAGAACAACCTAAAAAGCCTGAGAGAAAGCCCAAGAAACGACCGAAGGCGTAAGAAGAAAAGCGGGGGGCAGGGAAGTGTATGTACATGTGTGTGTCCGTGTGTGTGTATGAATACTTAGCCCTCTAGAATTACTGATTACTTAGCAGAAATGAATTACGTGCAATAGCTAGGGAGCGGGACTTTAGTCTTAGACCGCCCGGGTAGGAAAGACTAGAAAAGGAACAACACAGGGAAAGGCACCGACACACAAGTGTGTCGAGTACCATTTCCCTATGTTGCCCTAAATAGGTAGGGAGTAGAACTCAGCGGGGGGGGGTTGGGGAACCTGCCTCATTGGGGGGTTGGGCACCGCACCGTTTTATAGCCCGGCGGCTGTCGAAGTAATCCCGTTTTTGGGCCCGGCGGCCAATGCATCAGTTGATTCCATGGATGTGTCAATGACTTCCAGTGGAAATCCAGTGAAAGGTGGCAAGTTGGGGTGGATGATTTCCTATGCAAAAACGGCGCCCCTGTGACGGGGATCACACTCAGCACCCGAGTGGGACGGCTGAGCGAAACACACTCTGACATTGGTTTTCAGTGACTCAGTTACCACGTTGGGAAGGAAGGTGAGGGAACGGAAAGGTGCGTGAGTCAGCAAAACCGTATTGTTGAACAAAGTTTCGACAGGTGTGCAGTGGCGAGCCTCTGTACAATTCAGCTGCGTGAGAAAGTGGAAGGGTTTGTGGGAAGTATCATGAACCACCATGGAATCAAAAAGGAGGATTGGAACAGCTTGCTCAACCGTTGAAGCAGGTACAGGTGGATGATCAGTCCACCCATCCCTCGATACACCAGAGCTTCGTTGCGTCAGGTAGGTGTATCGAGCCTGACGCCCCTGCCGAAGGTGGTTGAGAACCCTTTGTCCAGGGGTGGACACACTTTGACACTGGTTTTCCGTTAAACTCAATTTCTCCGATGGGAAGGAAGGTGATGGAACTGCATGGTGGAGAGTCCGAAAGACTTGTAGGTGTTTCAACAAGTTGTTGGTCAGTCTGCAGAACGATCGGTCGGCGCGGCGCAGCTGCAGGACAACGCGGCAAAAGGGGGTTTATGGGAAGCATCGTGCAAACGACCATGAATCAAAAAGAGGAAAATTGGAGTGACAGCTTGTGGAGAAAACGAGCAGGTACACAGGGATGATCAGTCCCTGCTTCCCCTTCTTGTCCACAGCTTCATTGCGTGTGGTAGGACAAGAAGGCCACACGCCCCTGCCTGTGAGAGAAAGTGTTGGAAAACCCTTTGTCCAGGGGTGGACACACACACACACACTTGCATTGAGATCAAGGAATAGTTTTGCGAATATGACCGGCAGCCGAGGATTCCGAAGGCGCTCTGTATGTTCGAGCAAATTTGGTGTTTGCCATCAACTCAGCAAGGTCTAGGACATTCAAAGCAACTTTCAGGTCATTCTATCCAACGATGCTGTTGTCGCGAGATGCAAATGGTCTCAATCGTTTCTGCAGAGTCAATAACACGTTGTTTTGTTGGTCTGAACATGGGAGTGTGATATCCAGTTATGCTCAGAAAGTAGTGAAGCCTGCAGCGCTATATTAGAGGGGAAGCGTGGCAAAATACACAGACAGACACCTGCCAGAAGTCCAGAAGGCTTGAAAATGCTCAGGATGGCTCCTCCCTCCTTCAGCGCGTTGTGGACCGGATGTGCTTCGTCACACCACGTTCTGAACTGCTGGAGGAGTTGTAAAAGAGCTTGCTTCAAGGGATTTCAAGGGCAGGTGCTGGTGAGGAGTACATCTGAAGTCGGTCGCATGCTCGATGACCATCGGCCATGGTTCCAGATCTGTTGGACTTTATGGAACTTGTCACTTGGGCTAGGGGCATGTCGACGTTGATTTTGTCCCACCCAAGTGTTCACATGATTTCACTTTGTGTCTCAGAGGTGTGCCTCAAGTTCAAGGACACCACAGACTTCCCACAAACCCTGTCTTCAACAACACTTGAATTCTGAATATTTGGTATGGTCAAACGGACCCTGTTTTTGGGTCTCCTTTGCATGTTGAGCCCATCATGGCCCATAGGACATAGGATCCCATAGCTATTGAATTGGTCGTCAGAGACGGTCGTCGGTCCTGCCAAGGTCTGGGTGCTCGTACCGAGCGGCGCGGCTCTCGAAGCGAAGCGGAGCGGCGGGTGGGAATGAACCTGCTTCGACCCGCGGTTCCAACTCGTCGGGTCTTGGTAAGGAACCCAGGCCCTGGCAGCTTTCCTGATTTGATTCATCCCAGTTCCCTGGCTTCATGAGACACACTTTTGGCGTGTGATTCCTATAGGGAATAAGATGGCATATCCTCCAGAGCTTCCTGATCCACCATTGGTCATTCCGAAATTCCTCTGCTGCGACTCTCCGAATGAGTCACAGCTGCTTGCAGCGGCTTCAGAGTCCTGGCGGAGTGCGTGAAACTCCGGTGGGAACCAGGTGGGGGAACTGGTCAACGGAGGGACCACGGAGTACCCCCCATCGCTTCACCGGGGCGTTTTTCTTTGAGGCGGAAGGGTTCCAACTCGCCGAGCTCACCGAGGTGGGAGTCGTTCGCACTCGAGTTGCTACTGAATGAAGAAAAAGAGCGTGGCGTCCTTTGCTCCTAGTAGATCTAGCAGTAAGGCCATGAGCCCCTAGAAGCTTCTTGCTCCTAGTAGCAATGCCAGGAGCCCCCTAGTACCCCCCCAAAGAATTCCCCTGTAGTGCCGTAGTACTTTGAATCGACAGAGCGGAGAAAAGCCGGCCTAGACAAGAGCCTTCCGGAGATACATCGAATTTGCGACAGTTTTCACCGCCGCTTTAGAGCTGAATGTCGCAAACTCACACCTTACCTGGCAGCTGGCGTAGCAGGTGTTGTGATGTGGTTCTGGGTGTGCTTCTCTTTACAGATTTGTCACGCTACCTGGCAGGGAAACGATGGCAGTGTGGGAGAACAATGAGGAGGAGTTCTCCGAGGTGAGCAAGTCTTGAACACTTCCGAGCACTGGCCTTTCATGTGTGAACAAAAGTTGAACGCATTTGAACACACACACACAATATTTTGGCAAATGGAGAATGCGTTTCCGGTAGATAAACCGATCCCACCCCAAATGCAACTACAATCAGAGGCAGCTGGTTTCAGTCCTAGACCGCTGAAAGGTGCTTGGGTCAATCGTTTGTCTGTATTTTCCTGCTATGCTGCATTTGTATGCATTTCTTGTACTTTGGGCTGCATTTCTTTTCAATTGCACATGTTTTACAAGTGACTGTCACAGATCACGGTTGACTGGCTACAGCGACATCATATCGATTCTTTCCAAGCACTAGACACATCATTAGAATACACTGTGGGATATGCTATGATAGTTTGCAGACAGGCCATTTGTGTATCAGACATGCGTTGACAAGATCCGATATGCAAGATATCGTGTCTGAAGATGTTTGTTTTTCAGAGTTTGACGGTCTCGTTTCTGAGATCAGACATGAGTCATGAGCATTGGTGTCAGTCCTTCTCATGTCAATTAGTCTACCACCCTTTGATCTCCTATTGAGTGTTGGCACTCCGGTGTATGGTACTGGTTGCGAGGTAGCACTCCTAAAGCTTGCAGCGGATTTCTTGATTACTGGCTGATTATATATCATCAAACATGCTTGCCTAATTGAACCGTTACCATCCAAGCCTAAGCCTCTGTGCCTATGCCAACAGCTGTCTGAGCTTCATTTGAAGGCATTGAAATCAGTTCGTCTTTGGTGGAAGCCTGTGGAGGCCCGGCACAACTTGCTCGCGTGAGAAGAAGACTTGTGTTCATTTGTTGTCAGAACATGTACACAAGGATGGAGGACGGTTTTCCCTAGATATTGAGTTCTTTTTGGTTCGCAAGAACATACCACAAGCACCACTGCTTCAGCTGCAGTATTGCATCCGTAGTATTTGGCCAACACACAGTTAATCAGTGGTCTCCCTTCACAGGCAGCTATTCGCAGTCGCAGAGCGGATCTTTTGCAGGCACGCAGTTCTAACGGTTCCAGTGTGCCATGATCAGCACACCGATCCGGGGAACACAATTTCCGCCAGCGCCATGTTGGTGTTAGTATGAAAGCATATGAAACCCTGACAAGACCAGTGCTGAAACTGAGGGCGCTCTGAAGGAGGCCCACGGCGAAAGCTACCTCAGGACGCTGCCACGAAATGATGGGTGACAGTGAAGCCAGCGCGACCACGTCGTGAACGAGCTATCCAGAAATTCTAAGATGGTAAGAATATCTACTAACCGTTGGCATCGTACCGATGTCAAAATATACATATACAAGAAACAACTCCTCGACTCGACCAAAGCAGCCTCCCCTCCTTGCTGTAAACTGGGAAGCGCAGGACTGTGTATGCAGTGCGCCGAAGTTCAAGTGCCTCGCCTGGCGACTGCACATGACTTTTGGACCTTCTAAAGTGGACACACTTCTCAATGACTCAATACTGCTATGATAGCACTTCCACAATGCAGAACTGTACTTCCACGAATGTCCTGAAAGAAATGAAGAAGTGGCCGACCGCAGGATCAACTCACTGTGGCAAACTCAAGTGACTGATCCCAGGTTTGGACCCTGCTCATCGCCATTCAGTTGAGTTTCTTTGGCACAAGTTCTGGCGTGGAAATGACTTTGCATTGAATGTGTTGGTCATGGCTTAATTGTTCAATTGCCCTTTGTCAAAGATCTTGCGGTAGCTCTTGTAGAACTACTGTCACGGTAGCGTGAGTTGTATGTGGGTCAAGGTTGATGTTGAAGAGTCCTGCGCTCACTGAGGATGGAAATGGCTGCAAGATTGGTCCGTCTCCAAGCAAATTCAAGAGAACAACAAGCCAATCGTGAAATAAAGGCATCATGATATGTCTTGCCTCCAACTGAACCTTTGACAGGAATGTAGCCGAAGATTAATGATGAATATATAAAGATACTGGATAGTGTGGCATTGCTGAGATAGGAAGACCCCAAAGCAACCTTGTGAAGAACGGGGCAGTTGAAGGCAGTGAAGGTATTCTAGCTTGAATGAACAAATACGGCTTGCAGCATCCAGTTGGCGATCCCGCAGTTTAGGTCAAAGCACGCGCTATTCTTGGGAAATGGCAGGCCGGGAGCAGATCAAGGAGTGCGTTCCAGTTGAGCAGAGGGGCCACAGGGCCCACTCCTATCACAATTGTGTGGTCCTAAATCGAAGCTCCCAGCAGCTGGCAGAAGTCAAACCATGGATGCGGCATCAGAGATCAGAGACGGCCCAAGAACCTTGTTGGTTCTCTTGGAGTTCACCAGCCGATTGCAGCTACTACTTGCTTCTTTTTTTTTTACCTTGGGCCTTCAGACTTAAAGGATCACAAAGTGTCACTGGAGCCAGTATTGGTTCAAAATTATCACGGAAATATGCTCGGTGTTGCCGTGTGTGCCTGTGCCTGATTTACTGAATGCTGATGCAAAACCAGGCTGGTGTTGAGGAGATCAAGAAAGCTCATCGAGCGAGAGATGTGCCTTGGTAACGACGAGACGACCAGAGCGAGAGCTGTGGTCAGGGGACTTGCTATCAGTTTGGACAGGCTAAAAAATAACATCTACTTGCAATACCTTGGTCATTGGTCGTGTCAGTTGTTTGGTTACTTCCTCTTATTGGCACGTATTTGATGTGCTGGAACTGTGTATACGGGAATCATCGGGAATCGATGGAGCCGATTTCAACGAAACAGCACAGTGTTTGCCTTTATATATCGTTTGTTTTGCATGCTTTTCGAGCCTTATGTGCAAATCAACTGAGTGCAATCCGGATTGTGCACCATGCTATTTCACCTGTCCAGCCACAACGTGTTGCACGCTCTGCGGCGTTTTGGCTGATGCTAGATACGGACTGTACAATATTTTGGACACCATGGACCTAGTCAAAGTGATTGGGTCGCAGGTGGCGGGTCTTGCTCAAGCCTTGTCACGGTTTCAGCACTCTGCTGATGATGCGGAGGCCTGGACCAGATTTAACCAAGTGACTGGACCGGAACATCCATCAGAAGCTGTGTCAACATTCCATTTAGAAACCTTCACATGTTATCTACGAAGAGGCCAACAAATAAGGTAAGTTGGGAAAGCATACTGCGGAGCATACTCAGTATGCAAACATCCTCATACATCCTCGTACCATCCGATACCCATGCAGTTCTATCATGTTCTATCACAGATTATCACGTTCATTTGTCTCGGATTCTCAGACATGCAACAGGTACTTTTAGTATATACCTTTTTCAGTATCCTTTAGCGATGCTGCAGTGTGCACTATTCAAGCTTCTAAAGCAAACAAACGTGGCCTCGTGGCTAGGTGTCAGGTGCTAGACATGATCTAGAACGATGGCGGAGACTGGCCAGAACACTGAGCGGGTGCGTTCAAACTGACGCCACAGTCGCCACGGACAGATTTTGGAAGGAGGTTTTTGTATGTGGGCTCCAACCGAGAAGAAAAGTCCGAGCAAGATCGGCTTCGATGGGTTTGAGTAGTAACAAGTGCATCGCTAGTAGTAACAAGTGCCTTACTAGTAGTAACTAGAAGCTAGTAGAAACAATAAGCTAATGGTTTGAGTTTTTTTTCACCGATGTGAGGCCGAAGAACTCCCCAAGTTTCTCAAGGAGGCCATCGAGCGTCGGGATGTGCCGAAGCTCCGAGAGGCGCGAGAGCGCTTCTTTTGATGGCAGGCTGTCGGTTGTGCATGTTCTGGTGAGATATATACTGTCTGAGATACTTGAGAATCTTGATCATCTCCAAAGAAGACCAAGCAGCACCTACTTGCAGACAGTTTAAAGGCCCAAGACTCCAGTAGGAACCTCACCCAGTGGGTCTATCTTGCCTGCTCCCGTGAGGCCATCATTGACATGAGCAGAGATGGTCCGACCAACATTGAAGGGGCGGAAGAGGCCAAGAAGATGATCAAGCGGTGCCTTGGAGAAGTTAAGGATCATATCATATAGTATAATTCTAGGATTGATACATATTGATACTACTGTATAGATATTTACTTTCGATGTTTTGTGCCCCCCAGTCATGACGCTGATGTGGTGTCCTTAGAAGCCTGCTCTATGCCACTCTTTCAATCTACATCTTCAGCTTCGGGAGGTTCTCATCCAAAGGTTTAACAATTTGTTGATGTTGGCTGAATTTTAGTCGAGCGGCTTGTTCGAAAACGCCTGGAAGTCTATACAGTTGTTTTGTTCAAAAACTCCCCAAACCTGTTCCAGGTATCAAATTCGAGCTCGTGCCCTTGACCATGCGGTTGGGGAGCGAAAGATCAACTCCATCCAGGTGAGAACATCATGGAACATAATGGAACATATACATCCCTTCACCATGGAACTACAAGGTGCTGCTCTCTCCATATATATATATATTTTTGTTTTTTTCCGTATCATGACTAGCATTGCATTTGGACATGTTTGGACTCTCCATAGATATCATGCCTTGCTTAGTTTTTTTGTTTTATTGCAGTACAAGTTTCCCTAAAAACCTAGGAACCAAATGATTAGTGCGTGAGCTATCCTGCGTCCTACCTAGAAGCACCTCCTTAATTATGTAAGTGGGCGCCTACTTAATTGAGTAGGAGCGGACTTAAGAAATACGCACAATTTTTGATGTCCCATCTTTAGGCCTTTTCTGTCAGTTCGGGAACCGGAACGACCGGACCCCGGTCCGCAGGCTGCATTGTCAACATGGGACTTCAGCCGAGATGACATTCATGCCGTCAAGGTGCAAACCCAATTCTTCACCTGAAAGGTGGTGACTGTCTTTGCTGAATGCTTGCAAGAGAATAGACAATACATGAAAGTACTGAACACACAGTATCGTTCGCAAAACAAAACATGTGCATGCAAAAAAGCAAGCTCAACACCTGTCTTCTCGGCGCACACGACCGCCACTGTGCATTCGGTTTCACCGCTTCCAGGCTCGGCAGGCCATTGCTCGAAGGGACCAACAGAAACAGAAACTACATGATGCCGTCAGCTTCTAAGCCTGCCTTGTCCTTTGTGGCCTTTGCCAAAGCATGCCTGGTTGGGCGGGCATGCGGGCTCGCAAAGGTATTTTCCAGGTCTTTTGTGCGTCTCAAAGGTAGCTGTGAGTGACTTGCCAATCCCGTAGCTCAGGTGCACAAACGTGATGGGCCACGGCTGAACCAGGTGGTGAATGATTGGGAGTTTGACCGCAATGATGAGGACCAAGGGACTGACCTGGGAATCAGGCCGATCCTTTTGAGTGGCAAGGCTTCCAAAGGCCTTTGAACATCGCACGTGCGGGCCGCGCGTGACCTGGCAGCGCATAGCAGGGCAGCCATAAGTTGCCCCAACCACATCGACCGCTGAGAAGCACTTGTCAAGAGATGGTCGGATTAGACCGCACATTTCGATGCTTTAGCTTCCTGAGGTGCTTGAGGACGACCTTTGTGTTACTTTCAAAAAGGTGTTACCAGCTTTTTCAAAACCTGAGAGGTTGAGAAGGGAATTGCAAAAGCAAGGCAGTTTTACACCAATTTCTACTAGACGTACTAGGTTCATCACTGTGGCATTGGATTCTTGCCTAAAGGCATCAAAGAAAAGACGCTCAAAGCCAGTGCCTTTCTGTAAAAATCTAGGAACCACATGATTAATCCTGAGTACCTATTTAGAAACAAAACAGGGGACCACCAGAGTGCGTACTTTATGTGTTTTTGCTACCTACTTCCATCTATGTGCTATAAACTTCCCACTGTGGTCTGCATTCATGCTATGTCTGTGAAAGCTACCTCAATGTCCTTTGCACTGGAAAACAAACACAAACAGTCTCGAGAAAATATAGAGAAAACAAAAAACATTGAAAACAAACAACCAGAACAACAACACCTCAAAAACAGAGATCTAGAGGACAACTTGGAAAATGCAAGCTCTTACCCGCAGAAATCTAGAAGAAAGCTTTTAACTGCGGTTTTCCACCGGTCACCGGTCACCGAGCTGGGAGGACTTTCAGGACGCACTCCAAGCGTTGTCGCGCTACGAGAAGATGGTGATGGATGTTGGGAGGACGGAGCGACGGAGAGAGCGTGAGCGTCATGAGATGTCGGCTCCATAAGGAATATGAGGACTCACCAGAAACAACCTCCTTCCCATCAAATTCACCCAAGTCCACTCAGAACAGCGTGCAAGACTTTAGCCAAGCTTAGCAGCTGAAGCAGAAGGCATCAAACACCTTCCTTGCAGTATTCAGGATGATGGGTCCTCCCATGGACATTGTGGCACTGGCGCACAACCGGCATGGAGTTATGGATTCGTCAGCTCAACCATGCAATCTGACGAGCAGTCTCGGGCCAAAATAAAAAGATATTTAATTCCGTACCGCAGCACTTTGATGAATGTGCGCAGATGCAGATACTGGACCGGGGAGTCAATTCAGTCAGTTTCTCTGCCATTTCTGCGTCATGAGCGAGACAAGCTAGACAAGCTGGAGATTGCTGCGAGCTGTTGCTATATGATGACCCATGCTTCCTGTTGGAACAAGGGCCTTACTGGTAGTAACAAGAAGCTAGTAGGGGCTCCTGGCATCGCTACTAGGAGCAAGGGCCTTACTAGTAGTAACAAGAAGCTACCAGGGGCTCCCTGACCAACTTTCCTTCAGATCTCCGGGTCTCTTCTCTCTTTCGCTGTGCCTGTGACTGCCTCTGCCTTTGGTTGTGCTTCAGTCATCTTATTCATCAGTTGATGCATTTTCTCGTGATTTGTTCTGTCTTCATATGTTACTTGCACTCTTATTCATCAAGTGCTGCGCGCTCTCCTGCATGTCAAAGGCTATCACATCTACCTTGTGTATCCTTGTGTAGCCTCTTTGGCCTTCTTGTCTTGCATTGTTTTTTCTGCCCTCTTTGAAAGTTTTCTTTCCTTTTACTTTCTCAAACTCTTTTGTCCATCTTCATGCTCTTCCTCAGCTGCTCCACTTTGATGCTACTTTACCATCCTTCATCATCTCTCTCCAGGCTTTGATTGCCTGTAGGGCCGTCCGTTGTGCTTCATGAACCGCTTCATGCCAATGGCTCTTTATGTGCTCTGTGTCCGCCTGGTCGTGGATTGCTTTCTACTCTTTTTTCATAGTCCCTTTTCTCTGACTTTCTGCTCGAACTCTTTTGCCCTGAATCTTCATCTTTCTCTCGAACTCCTTGGCTTGTTCGGTCTCCCTTTCTTCATGCCTCATTTCTTCCGCAGTTCCTTTGCTTGCCAATCAAGTCATCATGGTCCACATTTGCTCACTTGAGGCACAGGGTTGCCACACACACATGCGCTTGGTAATTCTTGATGATGCTTTCATGGGTTTCACGAGTTTCCAGGTGTGTTCTCCACTTGCCGAATTCGCGAAGCTAGCTTTCCACTAGTCTCGTCTACCTCTGCCTCCAACCGACTGGCAAATGTCCAAAGGTCTTCAGAGAGGCTCCCCTTTGTGTCTTCCCTCAACCCAGGCAGGTGCTGGAGACCTGGGAGTGGTCCCAAGGCACGGAACGTCATGAGACGGAGTGGGACTGTGTCTGAAACTGCAAGCGCTCAGATGATCCTGTTCGATTGGCAACCCAGAAGCGCATCATGGAGCACGAAAACGCCAGGCTCTGAACACATCAAACTGCACGGAGCGTGCGACAGTTGTGGCAATATTCAAGAGTAGAAAGCCATGGTCATGCCAGACTTGCATCTATATAATCCAAGCTTATCATAACCGTGAGCAGCGGTCATATCATTGCAGCAGGGCCCACCCTGGATATCCTAAGGCTGCTCGAAATGCTTTGGATGCCAAGGAGCAAGTCCCGCCATGTTCGTAGACAGTACATGACATTACTATGTTGATTTCAGTGAAAACAGCCTTCCTATTCCTTCAAGCAAAATGGATGCCGTTTGAAGTCGAGTTGATGCTAGATTGAGCAGAGCAAGATCCAGTCTATGGTGCTTGCATGTCCTTTCCCTTCAATCGGCATTGGTTTCATTTCAATCTGTGTACCGTTACCCGGTATTTGTCAGAAATGCCGTGACTGAAGGATGGCTGGAAACTACAAAGAGCCTGGCGGCCAAGATGGGAGGGTTGATGCATTTGTCTCAAGCCAAGGTTCTTCTACGTTTGCATTATAGTTCTTTTGTTGGACATTCAGCAGGCCGCACGGGTTGGATCACTTCATTATTTCCATCTCTCCTCCCTTTTGTCCTGCCGAATCCACGTGAAAAACTCCCTTTTTTGGCCTCAGCGCTTGAGGCGTGGTGAGACAAAAAAGAGTGAGAGGAATGGAGTTCCATCCCGCCATGCTGAGATTTGGCAATTCGACACCACGGTGAAGCCCAAGGCCAAAGGACCCCCGAAACATGACGAACCAAATCAACGATGCGAAGGGTTCTTCCAGGAAGTGATTTCTTGAAGAGCCTGAGTCGTTCTGCGTTCCGAGCCCAGCTCCCCTGCTTAGCTTGTTGGCCGCTCTCGACAAAGCCGTGGACGATGCCATGATGTCAATGGCCATTTTTGTTTCGCACATATACTGTGTATATATATATACATACATACTTTTTTCTCCTGCCACCTTCGAATATATATATATATATGTCTATATGTTCGGATCAAGGCATCAATGAAGGCAACGCTTTTGTTTCAGGAGCTCCTTCGGCGCTACACCAACAAATGGCTGGCATCCGGTGGAAAGCCACGGTTGGGAGCCTGGGAGCTGCTTTGAGAGCTTCTACACGAGAACCCGTCTTCTTCGCTGTGTATCCCTTTGCTCAGCAACAATAAATCATAGCCATCCTAGCAGCATGATGTTGCTCGTGAATGCGGGATAATCAATGAATATTCTCGGTGGCTATCTATCGAGCATCATCTCACAGCAGAAAGATGGCTGCAACTTGCCTTGATTGAGGTTGCCAAGAACAGATACAGAGAAGCAACAAGCTGCCTTCGCCGCTGTCCTGGCTTTTGAAGACTATCATGTTGTGATTTTCCAACATTACTGAAGGATTGGGGAGCTGTAATTGCATTCCAAAGAAGGGCCGTTGAGAATCATTGAGATCAACCAACTTCCCGGAACGGCTACGATTTCAATGTGCCTGTTTGCGGCGGCGATTGAAGTGACGTGTCGAGGTGACGCCATACACCATGCGGTGGAGGAGTCCGAGTATATGCGAACCGAGGCCTTTGCCGAGGCGTGACGTTTTAACTTGGACGTTGCTTAGAGTACAATGTCAACGAGTGTCAAACATAGCAAGTGTTGGCAATCAAGACTGACCCTTTTTTCCTATTATAATCTATTATATAATATGTACATACATTCTTCATATTTCTACAGCTTTTAGTGTCACCGTGAAGAGTTTCTTGCAGGTAAACTAACAGACTGCAAACAGTTGTTTAGAGAGAAGCGATAAGACACATACATGCAAACTGCAGAAAGGATTGAAAAACACTGTCTTAGAATTCGGGCTTCTACCCGTTGGTTGAAATGATACATGTTTCAGTCATTTTGAATCACTACTTGCCCTCCCTTGTACAGATGATGAGCCTAGGTGGATGTGCCGGAGGGTGAAGATGCTGTACAGGCTCCACATCCAAGCGTTCTCATGAGCCTGGCAAGGCCGGGTGGCTGATTCTTCTGAGTTGCAGAGCGGCTTGCCATGGCTTGACCGTGAAAAGATTTTTGTTGTGCTTGCAGTCAAGTCAAGTAGTCTGTTAGCTTGTTCCTTGATATCCAAGCAACTTCTTACTCTTGAGTGATTGCTGGCCTCTGTAGCTTTCTAGCAAGCTACCCAACAGGATCAATTCTACCAATCAAAGCAACTCTCCGTTTTGGACAAAGAGCCAAACGAGACAACGCAACCCTTTGAAGACATGCAACTTACCAAGGCAAGAAACCAGCTAGGACAGCCAACAAAGGAATGGAGCGAGCCTTCAACCAGCGCACGCAACATGAAGCAATGAGAAAAGGTAAATGGAGAGGAAGCCGAGAAAGGACCTTTCCCCAACAACGTGCACAGCCGTGACACTGGACACATGCCAAGCCAAAACCATCTGCAAGACGCGCAGTCAAAGCAAACGTACGAGCTGATTCTTAAAACATTCGTGCTTGGTTTGCCCTTCGGGGAAGGCGCTTCGCCCTCCTTTGATTTCCAAACCAAGCTGAAGCCAGCCAAGAGGGCCAGGCCGTTTCAACAGGCATTGCACAGTCATGCCCAACAATGCTACACCAAAACCAACCCGAATCGACATTTTTCTGACCTTTCTCTTGGATTTGGCCACCCGGCCACGAACCCGTTGATTGAACAACTGCGTGTTGAGCACAGCACGCATTGGTTGGAGCCATGGGTTCATTCAAGCAGTCAGTTTTCTCTCTCAGTCATGGCTTGCCTCAACCAATCAGCATTGAAGCATTGTTATATACACTGATTGGGACTAGCATCGACTAGCTACTTTCCATGATTGCCTTGTTTAGAGTCTCTTCTTCAGTTCAAGTGTTCTTCTATGTAATTTGACAATTAATACAATTTAAAGAGTGTCAATCTTGTCAATTCCCTGCAAGGTTTGCCTTCACGGGAATGCCACCCAAAGAGCATGACCTGAACACCCTCGCAAGTCAGCTCAGTTGCAAAGCACAGCACGATCCACTCGTCTGCCAAGTCTATTTGGTGTCCAATTCCTATTGGTGTATGCTCAATTGTGCTTGGAAGTCTTGGAAGTTGCATGATCCAGACATGTTTGCCAGTTTGCCAACATGTTTGGCGTTCTTTGGGTGGGTCGCCGTGCAGCACCGATGTCCTAAAGGGGCGTCGAAACGTCCAGATGTTGAGGTGGAGAACTGGCCCTTCAGCAGCGACGATCCAACAGTTCGATTGGTCGAGAGCTGGGTTTGGTCAATTGGTCAACAGCCTGGCCGAGAGGATGTGTCACTGCAAAGGACAGGAGTTTGTGTAACAGCGTAACTCTGAAGGCAAGTCACTGGCTACGCTCTAGGTTCTTGCTGAAGGCAAGGGCCAACGCACCACCCAAAAGACTTTCATGAAAAGCCCTTAACATGAAAGGAGATGAAAGGAGGTAGTAGGACTGCTGGAGGCACAACCATGACTGTTTACTTTGCTACACTCCTCCCTGTTGCATACTTGGCTCCTCAATCCATACCTTGTGTGTTTCAACAAATTAAAGACATGTAGAAAACACAATCACAGCCAACTCTTGCCCAAACGACTTGTTAACACATGTGCCTTTTCTCTTCACATCGGGTGAAACGTGGCAGAAAACCTATGTGCGGTACCTGGACATCGCCCTCCATGGCGGTCACACCCAGAGCATTACCAAGGCCAGACTTCGGTATGCACAGAAACGAACTGAGCGGAAGGCTTTCTAGCCAATTAACACACTTTCTACTTTCTACCAGCGCCTATTACTAGGACCAGGTGGCCGGTAGGCACTCCAATGAGAACAGTTGCGCAAGGATGCACAGAATGTCAGTTTCTTGTCATTGCACCTTGATTGAAGCCTTGAACTTCGACTAGGCTTGACCCTTGTCAGGCCTACGCACAGGCTGCAGCTGCTGCAGCGCTGTCCTCTGCCATGTAGCGCTGTTTGACATGTCCTTCCAGATGCATGGGCTGAAACAAAGGTAACACCCCAAAACTCCGAAAGAGATGCTTCCAAACTTCCCTGCATCCACACCCAAACTTTCCCAGAGCCGTTTTGGGGAGGTCGACATGTCCAACCTCCACCGACCAGGTGCCACCACGAATTTACCACAAGTTTGTGCAACTTCCAGAAGGCGTTGTGAGAGCCAAGGACAGGTGCAACATGGTGTAACTGTGTCACTGTATATCTCATGAAAATCCCAATGAGTGTAACACATGAGTGTACATATCGCTTCCAAGCCATGAACACAAAACAATCTAGGCACACTGTTGGTCCATCAATAGCTGTTGTCTACTGGAAGGTATCAGTCGTTTGTTTGGTACTTGCCCGGGCTGAATACTTCATGGGAGTTCAACATCAGATCATGATGTGTGCTTATGCCACTGTATTGTGAGGAAGAGGCCTTGATGCGAGAGGCGATCATGCAAGCAGTGGGTGCAATGTGTCTTGGCCTGCGCCCCCAGATTTGGCCGAGTCTAGAACTTGAGCTTTACGACACGGGAGGCCAAGACTAAGACTTCCAGACTTCACGATGAAGTTACAGCCGTGCAAGACATTGCCTTGTTCACGGTCGGAGCCACCCCAACTTTTCCCAATTTATCCCTCACATGAGCATTGCCACATCTGCAACAGCCTGCCGTTGAGGAGTGGAGCCTGACCAACTAATTATGGCCCAAAGCCCAGACAGTTCCGGTTTGGAAGCGTGGGCATGTCAAAGATGTGGTCTGCGGGCATCACATAAAGTGGACTTGCAATTTCGATCAATTTTGTGGATTACTCCAAGTTGGCAACAAGACTGCTGCTCTTTGTGAGGGACTATTATATACCATGGACCATGTCCTTGAATGATTTGACAGAAGAGCTGACATGATCCCAGTGGCTGTGTGCCTGGATTGTTGAGGCCTCTGGCTTTGCCAAGGAGCTGGCAGACAAGGCATGGTTTCAAGTCGCATGAGCAGTGACGAGTATATTATTCTGCTGTAAACTCTGTCACGGGAGGACTTTCAAATGTTTCTTGGCAGAACGTTAATCAGGCAATCGACAACACGGTACTGAGGTGTGTCCGAAGGCTTTGGTACTTGGTGCAGATCTGTTTTGGGCAAAATCTGTTTCATCGACTCGTCGTAGCAGATCGGCATTTGTCCGCAGATCGACGCTTCGCCCGCTCTGCGCCACATCTTCAGGCCAGACTGGTGCGACAGGCAGCCTCCGCAGTAGAGGCACAAACCCGGTGCGACAGGACCAATACCATGGAGATGCCAAGAGCTGAAATTGGGGAATCCCACGAATTTAAGAATGAATATAGCATCACATAGCCCATACGTGAACTTTGAATGATTGCGTGTGATTTGGCACTACTCAATGAGAATTCTTAGAGAATATGTTCGGTGCGGTGTATCTCGGTGCTGGTTTAATTGCACGACAAGCAGTACTCTGTGCTTCCCATGTATTCCCATTCGTCCTGTTCAGTAGTTTTGAGATTTGATCCAATAGGCATCCAAACTAGTAGCTTCTTGTGACTAGTAGCGATGCCAGGATAGTGTCCTTGCTCCTAGTAGCGACGCCCTTTGTTCCATTCGTAGCTTATTAAAGCATGCGCCGCATGCGCTGGTTGCTAAAGTGTGGGCACGCTGCTTGGCCACAATGCGGCCACCTCTGGTGCACAGCTCTGAAACACGGGCTGGAATGCAGTCACTCGAGCAACATGCATAGCACAGACATGGTGAGAAGCAAGTCCTAATCATTCTAGGTCCAAACTTAGTGTTGTGTATTCATATATACATGTCATGTCCCTTCATGTATTTATATAATGTGTAGAGTGTAGATGTGTATTTAAAAAAAAAAAACGTAAATATACTTTGCACATACATAATCACACATGATAACAGGGCCTGGCTAAGAGTGGGTCCGTGATCTTTTTTCAGGCTGGCCGCATCCCCACTCTTCGAGCTGCTTCAAGGCCACCAAGGCCTGCGGCAACTATCTCTTGGCACGCTTTTGGACTGATGAGCCTCACAAGCTAAACTAGGGAAAACCAGAACCTTTTTGCCCGAGTTTGGTACCTTCCTTGTCTTGCATGTTTGGAATAACGATGGTACTATAGTACTATAGTCAACTTGGTGTTTACAGGTGTTTGCAATGGCTGGTTGGCTACAGTTTGATTGCTTCAGGGTGGTGCACGCCGTTGTTGAGACCCTGTGCCACTGCGTGGCTGGCATCCAACCAACGGTGAGAGATCCTCCGAGAGATACCGGCTGGAGGAGAAGCGCTGGCACCAGGGGCTATAATATACCTTTTGCCTACACAGAAGTAGAACAACAATCAACATATCTTTCAATGTTGCGATTCACTACAACTTGCTTGCTCCACGTATTGCCCGCTTGAAAGACCAGTCGTGCAACTGACACATGTGAATGTGCAAACTGTAGCTTCCCCAAGCTTTCTGAGCTTGACCTTTAACACCTCTTTGAGGTAATGGACGGCACATGTTCCACAAACTCGGGTTCCATACAGCACTCTTGCAGCTTGGGTAGGACCTGCCAGCGTATGCTGAACAACCAGAAGGCATTGCTTGGTAGCCCAGGTGCAGATTCCAAGGCCTTGACATGGTCAGGGTTGAGGAGCGTTGATTTTGCGAAGGCAGGCCATGGTTGTTGATTGCTGAAATCATTGATCTCTGTGGGTCGAACTGAGGATTGAGAACCTCGTCGCCCTGCCAGACTGGATTCAGTCTGGACGCACAGCAGGGGATCTCAGTGTGCCGTTTGCGTGAGGAAAAGCCGTTGAGCCCTGTTCCAAACAGAGTGAGCGTTTTCTGAGCAGATGTCTTCCTCTGGATGTGATTTTGCAAAGTTTGTGATGGATTGTCAGATCCATTGAGTGCAAATGCCCACCAAAGGAGCCAATCCGGAGGGCAAAAGAGCATTGGCAAAAGGCGCTTCTGTGTTCAGCTGATTAGACTTCTGCACTATTAGGTCAAAGCAATATCAATACTGTATATATACTGTATATATATATATATATATGGCCCCCCCCCCCCCAAATGTCTACCTTTTTTGGTTTTGATTGGTATTTACAGTGTTTTATGCATATTTTTGAGTATAAAAAATCTAACTAACATCAAACAAAACACAAATGAAAGGAAGCACATAAAACACATATCCACCATTTTGAGTATTTGATGTTTGGTTTATGAATCTTGAATCTTGAATCGTAAATCTTGAATCTACTTGAATCCCCTCTCGTTTGCAAACCTTTGCAAACGTTTGCAAAGGCTATTTCTGGATTTTGTGCTGAGTACAGTGTGGAAGGAGCATTCATAAACTTCCTGAACGCAAACGTCTGCAATGGTAAAACCAAACATCAAATCCCCAAAACTACACGTGTATTTTTTGTTTTTGGCAGTGTTCTAGTACAATAAACCTTCAACAAACGCAATGTTGTTTTGTTTTTGGATCTCCAAAAAACACACACAATGAAAACCAAAACAAGACCTTTTGAGGCTGAACCAACAACTCTCCTCAAAGATTTTTTGGTTTTGTCAGTGTTTTGGTCCTTGGAGTGTTTGCACAACCTGTATAAATCTATTGGAAGTTGATTTAGCTTTGAATATTATTAATACAAATTGTCTTCTATTTCCAATGGACTTCAAATTTAGATCCAAGTCAATTCTACTTTAAGTGTTATGCAATTTTTGCGTATTGGTTTAAACCCAAACTGAATTGAATGCATATAAATAAACATCTTAATTATGATTAATTCTATTGAACTCTAATTCATCTATTTTTTAAGTCTAACTTATTTCCAAAAAAGAAATTGTAAATTCGATTTTGAACCTGATTGAATTCAAATGTTGAATCTATATAATTGTTTTAACATTAAAGTTTAGTTTCAATCTCCAATTTGATTTTAATTCAATTCTGACTGAATTTGAATTCAATTCTAATCTAGTTCTATTGTAAATGTCATTTTAACTTTAACTCTCATTCAAGTCTAATTCTAATTCATTATTACAGTAAGTGAATTCTAATCGAGCTGCAGGTTAAGCAATTCTATTTCAATTCCATCTTTATTCTAACCCTATTCTACTTGAAACGATGACACTTAGATTAAATCTTAATTTAGTTAAACTAGTTAGTTCTAATCTAGTTTTATGTTAAGTCAAATTTAGTTTTGTTTACATTTCAATTTATTTGTAATTGTACTTCATTTGTGGCTTCAGCTAGTTTGAATCTTATACAATTCAATTTTGAGTTGTTTACATTTCTACTTTAATTCCATTTTGATTTCCAATATATATTGCTTTGATGGATTCTAATCTATGTTTAATTCGATTCTAGTTCAATGCCAATGTATTTCTAATTCAATGCAAATTTAATTCTCATTTAACTCTGACTTTATTCTAGAGAGAGGGCTTTGCTGGGGGTGTGATTTTAAGAAGACAACCTTTAAGAAAGCAACACATAAATTATATGCAAAGCGTTAATTTTTAAAGCAAGACGCACTCTCCAGAAGCAAATTAGAATTGCATAAAACACATAACTAGATTAGAGGAAATGGAATTACATTTTTCATTTAAACATAAACTGCATAGAAGTTGAATTGAAAAGAAGTAACCATTAACTAGAAATAACTTTGCATTGAATTCCCATTCAACTATACTATATATGGAAGTTACTCAACATTAAAATTGAATTGAATGATAACTGAAATAGAATTAACATTTAAACTTAATTGCAGTAGATTTAAATAGATTTGAATTTGATTTCAATTAGAATTGAATTAGACTTAGGTCATTCGGGATGTCAATTATGTGTTGCTTTCTTAAAGGTTGTTTTCTTAAAATCACACCCCCAGCAAAACCCTCTTTCTAGAATAAAGTCATAACTAAATGAGAATTCAATTTGTATTGCATTAGAAATAAATTTGCATTGAACTAGAATCGAGTTCAAATCAATATTGAATTAATCAAAATTAAATGTTTAATCAATATATAAATAAACTAGAACCAAAACAACTGAAATCGGTATAATATTTTAAATAGCTGAAACTAGAAAATGCATTGAACTAGAATCAAATATTGATAGTTCTATATTAAGCAAACTTAAATTGGGAATCAAAAAAGAATTACCTATATAAAAAGGTAGACATTTTGGGGGGAGTAGCATATATATATATATAAACAAGTCATCCTTTGCTGCAATTCTGAGGAATGCAAGGGGCCATGATCGCGTTCTTTGCTTTGAGTGACACAAATTCTGTCTTTGTTAGGTGCAAAGGGAGTTGGGGCGACGCCATGAATTCTCAATAGAGGTTCAGTACTCAGTGCGCTCGATTTGAAACGTCGCACCTTCCAAGGAAAGGAATAGCTTTACCCCTACGGCCCTACGGTATCCTACGCTGCCTGGAAAGACATCCACTTGACGTTCAGATGAATAGCCATGGCCTCCAACCTCGGCCTGAGGTTGTGCGAAGGTTCAGCATCTTGGCCGCGCAGTTCCTCAACTTTCTGCAGCAACTTTTCGCAGATTCCTCAGTTTCGCTGCTGCAAGTGTTACGTTGCTTTTGTCTAGAGTGGAATCGTGGCCGCTTTGTTCGTTGTCCTGGCTTGATTAAGGATTTCTATGACTTGACGAACCAGTCAAGCGTGAGGAATCCAAGCGTGAGGAAACCATATCTCCACGACTTCTTGAGGGATTGTCTATAAGATTTGGGCACATGCAAAAGAAATCAAAGGAACATGCCCAGCAATGCCAGCATCTAGGCCATGAACTCCTGAGGTTGCTCCCGACAAGAGGAAAGGCATGGAACTTGGTTCTTTTTAAATCTCTCTTGGCAGCAAATTCCACAGAAGCAATAAGGAAGGTTGAACTGTGTTGATGCGTACTACTTTTATGCACAGATGATATAAATTTGCCCGATTTGGTCCAGGCCGCCTGAAACATAGCGCTTTTTGGCGCGTGGTGGAAACACGATGCCACGTGTCAAGACGTGATTTGTCACACGAACCGTGTGAGGTGCCCATGAGATGGTTCGTGATGCAGATGCCCTGAGACTGGTCGAGCTCCAGGCCTGGAGGGTTGGAGGGGATGGGGGAGCGGATGCGAAGCTACGATGTGAAGCATGTGAAGCATTTGCGCAGCGAGGAAGCAAGGTTTCTGGACGGGACAATTGGTCCGCAGAAACTCAGTCGTAGGTTTTGTGCTGTATTCCCTCTGAAGCAACCCATGCGGAGCAATTGAAAGTTGGAAGTTTCAGGATGTAGGATGTGTTGGAGGGGTGGCATTGGTCGTTGTGCTTAGATGTGCATAATTAATGATATACTTTCCAAAGCGTTTTGACAAGGTGTAAGGTGGCAGGCCCATGACTGCTAACTGGATCAAGGCCATATTTAGCCGGATGAAAGAAGAGGCAAGCCAGAGCGAGGACGGGAAGATTGGAAATTTGTCAGGCGCCACTCCACCCTTGGTTACACCTGGTTGAGTGGAATGCTCCAGAGCACAAGTAAAACACACTGTTACATTCAGGAGTTTGCACATCAACCCTTGTGGTACTATGTCCTCAAGCAGGCCGAATGCCTCCATTCGCTCTAGAGACAGAGACATCAGATTGAGAAATATGCTGAAGGTACTGCAACATACTGCAACATTAGGTGGAGTGTACAGGGCGGCGTTCATCTCATGTTTCAATCATGACTATGACTATATATCCGATTGCTGATTTTGTGATACAGTACCCACTGTGCAGAGACAGATACACTTTCCCTAAGAATCTAGGAGTCAAATCATTAGTGCGAGTGTGAGCTATCCTATGTCCAGTTACTAGAAGCTAACTTAGCCTAGTAGCTTACTTCTCCCTTGCTTAATTAAGGCGCTTGCTTAGTTGAATAAGGATGCAGGGCCACGGGCAAACAAAAAGATTAACATTAATATCACTCCATGCACTTGTTGAGCCGATTTTGCCAAGGGTAAGCATGCTTTGTCGAGCCACCAGCTCTTCAGTACGGTGGAATCCCTAAAAAAACTGACGGAGTGAAGTACGCAGTTTTGTTTCCTGTCGAGTCGATTGTCAATTGCTACGTGTTTTCGATTGGCACATGGTGTTTGTAGAGTAAGGCGCATGTTTCGATGAAGAGGAACTGTTGAGAACATCTCGTGGCAAATCAACTTTACAAGTATGCAATGGTGTAAAGCATCCTGTGATTGAAATGGCATCCACATTGCTGAATCTCTTTCATGTTTTGATCGTCATTGCTAAGGCATGGGCCATTGTCGGTGGTGACGCAAGAAGCTCAGAGTTGGTCTTGTTTGGATTAGTTGTTTGGTAGGTCAATGGCACATCAGTGGTTTGCCAAGAACAGCTGTGCCACCTGGGCCATTGAAACAATGCTTTGTGGATTGTACAGTAGCGAGCAATGACAGGAAGACTCATGTGCGTGGATTGTAGATGCCAGTATAGATCAATTGATGGTGACACATAGACACACTAGTCGACTACACATGTAATATCTCGACATGACATCGCAACATAATCGTGCAAGGATGAGGTGGTAGAAGATTGCCTGAGCCTAAGCTGCCCGATCGAAGCGTTCGCTGACCGGAAAGATGAGACTGCCAACAGAAGCAGCGGGCTCTTCCAGCGTATATGCAGACTATTGCAAATTGACAGCTTCGCATAAGATTTACCTACAATCTGGTTCAGGGCTTTAACTCACTTCATCCCGGGCTCTAGATCCTTACACAGTTTTATGAGATATGAGATGATAGGACAAGGTGCTCTCTGAACCATCAAAACACTGGCGTGAAAGTGATATTGGCTTCAGACTTCCAAGCCTAGCAGTGGTGCCAGGTGTTGCGTGTGCACAACGGCAGCTTACTGAAGCATTGGCGCTAACCACAGTCTCCAACGCAGCACCTTGGAAGAGGGAGCTGGAGATCTACACTAAAGTGCCAAATACCCACACATGTTTGAAGCATGCAATATAAATCCGCCCGCACCGAAGGTGCCGAGGCGTTTTATGAGGCTCGCATTATACCGCAAGTACCGCAAGTACTAATAGCTTTAGCTAGGAGGGGGGGGGGCCATTTTCGCTCTAGAATCCTGTGTTTTTTCACCTTTTTGGAACACGCTTAAAGTGCTGGAAGATAAGTTCGTGCTAATTTTTGCTATCTTGAAGCCTTTAGTGATGCAAGAAATGCAATTTTATGCTTTGCATCATCTGCATCATCTGAGCGGTAAAGTGTAATTGGACTGAGGCCGGACATTTGGCTGAACAGGTGCCCCTAATGGGGCTCAACATAGCTTCCATGTTGCGTAACATAACCCTAGAAGTCACTATCTAACGGACGTGTCTGCGAGATAGGCACTTGAACGTCCGGGTACGTGGCTGGTCAGGAGCAGAGATAAGGAAAGATAAGGTCCAGGAATGGTGGTCAGGAGCAGACTCACGAGCATAGCTCCCATATGGTCGAACATAACCCCAGAAGTCACTATCTCAAGTATGCTTCCCCGAGATAGGTACTTGAACGTCGTAAACATGGCCCAACGAAGGCTCAAAAGGGACTGGAATAGAGTGAAGATATTGCCTAACATAGCCCTAGAAGTCACTATCTAAAGGACGTGTCTGCGAGATAGGGACTTGAACATCGTAAACTGGAATAAAAAACACCCCCTAACGTGGCCAAACATAGCTTCCATATTGCCTGACATAGCTTTAGAAGTGATATTTGGCTCCACAGGAGCAGAGATAAGCAGAGATCTTCGAGATAGGGACTTCAACGTCGTAAACATGGCCCAACGAGGGCTCAAAAGGGACTGGAAAAGCTTGCAAAGTCACTATCTCAAGCATGTCTCCTCGAGATAGGGAATTGATTGAACGTCCGGGTACGTGGCTGGTCAGGAGCAGAGATAAGGAAAGATAAGGTCCAGGAATGGTGGTCAGGAGCAGAGATAAGGAAAGATAAGGTTCAGGAATGGTGGTCAGGAGCAGACACACGAGCATAGCTCCCATATGGTCGAACATAACCCCAGAAGTCACTATCTCAAGTATGCTTCGCCGAGATAGGTACTTGAACGTCGTAAACATGGCCCAACGAAGGCTCA